CACCGACGCAGCCCCAAACAGTTTCTTTCGAAACTATCAGCCTTTATCCATTTCATGCAATTTCCAAAGCGTCCCTTTGTAATAAATGAAACAAAAAAAGGATGGTGAGGTTAAAGCACGGTCAGGTCGAACGAGGAAAGTTATTAAGAACATTCCTATACTCTGACACTTGGTAATTTGTGATTTTCGTTGTGATTTTTAGGATGTCACCAGTGCCATTGTTAGCAGCTGTGCAAATTTTTTCTCTGTGATGTTACCCAGTTCCAGTCTTTTGATTCTTGACTTCATTCAGGCTGCTAATGGCGTCGTTACCAGCCAGAACATGGAGGTAAATAAAACAATCCATCTCAATTCCACGCTCAGAAAAATTCTCATCGTCAAGATTTCCACTAGTGCTCTGGTTTGGTCTTGAAGCAAAGCGGCTGTGAATTGAATGGAAATGCTGTGCTCGTGCTTCGATAATAATTTCATTTATGTTTTTCTTTTACAGTTACCAAGAGAAGAAGCAGTAACTGTTATTGGATCGTTGTTGTGTTTTCCAAACAATGTTGCGAATATGCCCCTTCATCAGCCTGGACATCAGACCAATGAATATCAGCCAAAGAGTACATGTAAAGACGTCAAGGTCTGTACACCCTGAAAAGATTTCTTCTATCGTAAAACCGATGGAACTTAACCCTCTGACCGCCAAGAGTGTCTAGTATCTAATTTCCCCTTAATATATCACCGCTGAATCACACATTAAGGTCACAAGAATAAAGAAAATGATCACCAACTAAACAAGCTCTCGATTGTTAAACAAATTCTCCTTGTCAGCACCTTAAGAAATGTATAGAGAACAGTATGGAGAATATGCATACTGATATTAGGATGGTAAGGTTTAAGCCTGTTGTAGCAGAAGAAAAACTTTAATTTTGTTTTCTTTCATTTCAGGATAAACTTATCAGCTCTTTATTACGAGCGTCTAAGTTAGATCCGTCATGTTCTGCAAGGTAAACAAAGCAGTCAGTTCTACTTCTGACTCCACAACACATGTCTTTATCCCGCTGACGCTGCGAGCTCTTGATGTTAATATTTGAATTATTTTCAGATGTATCGCGCTTAATGCCCTTGGTGTATTCATAGCTGAGGAGCTGATTCATTGCCAAGGACATCCTAAAGTTCATGAATGCCTTTGTGTGCTCTTAGCTTCTATAACTGTGAGTAGAGATTAGTCTTTCTGTATAGTTTACACGTGTGTTCACGTGTAGCGTGTTAAAAAGTTTCCATTTGTGGCCTATAGAGTTAACTTAGGCGAGTACGAAAAATAAATCCAGTAAAAAGATGAGGCTGGGCCAGGTCATATGAGCCGTCAATAAACCCCAAATTGTCGCGTCTGCATGAATTTTCCTCAAACCCTTCCAGCCCTTCTTGCTAGGCAGCTTGTGAATTTGACCAAAGCAAATTTGTGGACTTCTTGTTTGCGCACAAATTTAAGATTCTTGTAGCTGCTTTAACTCATTTTAGCTGCTGTTTACGGTCTGCCTAAACAAAAATAGAGGCAACTTTTATATTTTCGATTGTCTTACCGTGCACTTACGTGACGATCTACCGTAGTTAGTTACATATTTACTGCCTGTAGATTTCTCCTCAAAGTCACAATGTGTGACACAGTTTTTGAAGCAAGGTTTCCTCTTCCTTTGTAGTTTCACAACAGATCCGTTTGTCAGGTGGCTTGCGGTGTGATCCATCTGCTATCTGAGTATTACAGGGAGCTTGTCGCATTTGAGAAAGATCTTCCACTCAAGATTGTCGAGGTTTGTCCATTTAAGTAACTAACGCTTCAGGTCTTTGAACTTATTTTGCGAATTTACGTTTATTAACCCTTTGGCCCGTAAACTGAGGGACCAGCATCTTATTTCCCCTTACAATATCACCCACGAATCACGCATTAAGGTCACAAGATAAAGGAAATGACCAGCAACTTAAGAGGCTCTTGATTGTTAAACAAATTCTCCTTGTCAGCACCTTAGAAAATGTATGGAGAATATACCAAATGATGTTAGGTTGTAGAGGGTTAACAGCGCTTCTGTTGCAAGGCTTGCTCGAATGGTTCACTGTTTAAATTTCTGACCTGCTGCTTTTATTTGATGTTTTCATTTATTTGTGATGTTTTTACGGTGGTTTATTTCTTAGTATCTTTGTTAACACTGCAGGTTCTCTGTCACGCCATTGTAAACCTTCTCCCTGGGGGAGAGTCAGCACAAATTCAGGAACAACATAAGGTGAGCAAACATCTGTTGAAAAGAGTAAAGAACAAATATCCGCCACATAGATACATCGTATTTGAGTGTAATATGAGGTGTGCTATTGTGTGGAGGAATATCTAATGTTCACCTTTAGTATTGTTACAAATGTACTAATTCCATATAAGCTATTCCTCGTATTTGCCATGGGAGATTCGGTGGTCCAGTTGTCAGCGCCTTGGACTCTGGATCAGAATGTTCGATTTGGACAACTGACGGGCTATTAGGGCACTACACACCTAAATTCACAAAACCTCTCTTTACTAAGGAGTGGGAACCGCTACAGACAAACTGGTAGGGAAACTCAACGAAATGCAAAGGGATGGGGGGGGGGGTACTCTTCGATGGAGTAGCATTCCACCCTGGGGAGAGACACGGCACTCTTAGTGGCATCATGCTTCTGAAACCGTGATAAGCTGATGGTGAATGGGCCTTCTAAATCATATACTGATATGTTGGTGGCATTGACACCCATGGCCTGGTTTGTCTTCATACCGTGCAGGTTTTGGCTTCAGTTCTGATGTGCCTGCTGGATTGGCTCATGGTGATACCAGTGTCAAAGCTGATGTCTAAAACAAATGAGGACGAGAATGTCACTTTACTTGCAAGAATATTCCAGGTATTAGGTTTTATCTCTACTCCTGGTCATGCTTTCCTGCCAGGTGCACAATTGTTTACCCTATCAGATAGACCATCGTTTCTTCGTTTATGCCAGCAGCACAGAACAGCAGCATCTTTCCTCTCTTTCACGAAAGAACTAACTGTATGGCGTGTTGCGTAGTACGTGTGTTTGCTTTTTCATTTCATTTTCTTAGTTTTCTCTCAGCGTTGATTTTGGAGTTGGCGCTGTCACTTTGCGACTAATTTGAAATTATTTCTCATCTGGTTTAATTGTAGGTGTTGAAGATGGCTGCAGCGAACAAGGGACCCAAAAAACGAACCAAACAACTCAACATATCTACCATCATCAGTGGCGACGGTAGACCAATCAGACTGGGCCGACTGCAAGAGGAAAGCAGATCATCAAGCGCTGGGCCGAGCAGCCCAGTGGATAGTCTGGCAGACACTGGTGGTGATGTACAGGAAGATGGTTAGTCGCTCATAATGTTTTATTCTCTTTGATTAGTTATCAAGACCAGCAACTTTCAATCGAAAGTCGAAAGTCGTGCGGGATTGCGTTGCTTTCGATTTATCGCACCCTGTGTTTTGTCTAGAAAACTCCAGCTAAATACTCAGTTAATGAGGTGCAGAACTCTAGTCGCGACTTGCAATAGGTCACTCAATCGGTGAAGTGTGTTCAATTTGAGTTCCTATTGTGGTTTTACCGCTGATTGGTCGTTTTCAACGCAAAGTTTTACTTTCGCGGCTTTTTTTTTTCAAGTTCCAAGTTTTATTTCCAAGTTAATATCAGTTGGTTATTACTAGGCTGGCTTACAAATAGCGAAGAGCTAGTCGCGGCAAGCCTTTCTTCCTACCTTGCCTTTTTCTAATTATCTCACGACTTTTTTTATTTTGTAGATCCAAGTGGCCAAGATATGTTTGATTTTCCTCCTAAGTCTGATTCTGTGGAGCTTACAGCTAGAGCAGTAAGTAACGTTCGTATTTGATAACGTTAGCGCGGTATTATAAAGTGGTCTGTGATTCGCCCTATCTTTATCGGAAGAAAGTGCGGACCACAAGCCATAGTGGGACTGATTGTTGACAGGGGGGGAAGGTCATTTCCATGATCTTTGTCTGAGAAGTGTGCTACTTATTGTGAGGAGCAGCAACGTTGAAAGTGTCCTGTTTTTAGATAAGGGAAGAAAGATTGTATGTTTCGATCTTGGTCGTTTACTTGGGACGATAGGTGCTACTTCCCTTTGTTTGTTTCCCACGATTTGTTTTCGCTTTTAATTCTGAGTCTTTAGAAAAGAGTTCCTGCTCGTGGTCTTGAATAAAACAGGCCCTTTGCTTACTGGAGGTCCTTTGATGTCACGGCACTCAACCCTGAACACCGTAAGATCAGTGTCCATATTCTCCCTATTCACCTCTACGCATCACCGAGGATTCTTCTAGATATCAAAGTTTATTTAGTTGGTGATTATTTCCTTTATTCTCGTGACCTTAATGAGTGATCCAGGGATGATATTGTAAGGAGAAATTATATGCTTGTCACTCTCTTTGTGCTTGTAAAGGTATTGATGCATATGGTAAACCACATGGGACATTATCCACTCGGTGCCGGTCCATCCAGAGTGGACAGTTTAATCAGCGAACATGAAGATAATCAGAACGTAGACACTGATGAGCTGTCAGCAAGTATATTCAACGCTCCTAATGTACAGGTTAGCTATTTTGAAATTTTTTTACTAGCTTCTATCCCAAAATTATCGTTGTGATGCTTTTTCTCTTCTTCAGTGTTTCTCACCCACTGCTTTTTTCATTTCCATGTCTAAAAGCGAGATCGGATAATTAATTTACACATAAGGGCGGATAGCAGCATTGTTAGATTGTTTTGGTTAAGATTTTGGCGTTTGATCGAGAACATAGCACGCTGAAGATCAGGTCGTTTGCGCTGTCGGACAGGGAACGTTACTTTTACCTTAAATTGTAATCCATTTCTCTTTTTTTGTTTCAGTTTTTCGTGCTAAACGACAGCGTTTTGATATCTTTGGTGGAGCTTCCTCTTGAGGTAGGATTTAACTTTTGAGATGAGAATTTGACGCACGTGTATTCATAATCCTGTGACGCGGCTTTTTTTTTCATTCTTTTAGGACTCGGTAGCTCAGGAGGTTCCCGCGAGTACAGCAGCCACTCAAGTTCGTGTGATCACGCGTGACATGACGGGGAAAAACGTTTGGGACCACACCTTGTTACACGGATCTTTTCAAGGGGAAAATGAAGATCGCCAGGCTAGCGGTAAGCCAGTGGAATTACTTTAAAGTGTTTTCATGACCTTGCTTTCCTTGTCAATCAGCTCTTGAACATACTTTTACCTTTTAGTGAAAATACCCGACTTAACTGATGGTATTCCAATACAAGAAGATGGAAGCCGGGAAAGATTTGACATTTCCTGTCATCCGCTTTCTAAATTCAAGAAGTGTTCGACTCCTGTTGCAGAAGATAGACTTGATGATGTAAGTGTTCACGTTGATTTTTTTACAGTAATTTTAAAATCGAGTATCGAAAGTTATCTAGGATTGCTTTGGTTTTGCTTTACTACGCACTGTGATTGGTCCAGAAAACTCGCGCCACTGCCTCGACCAAACAAATGCAAAACTAAAACTCGCGCCACTGCCTCGACCAATCAAATGCAAAACTAAAACAAATTCTGACTTGGTCGCCCGCGTTTTCCTGCGCTTTAGGCAGTTTGGTTGTTTTGACTTTGGGTTCTGATTGGTTCTTCAAGGTATTTTTCTCTCTTCTGATTGGCCGTTGTGATTACTTTGGTTTTGGTTTTAAGACACTCCATGGAAAAGTGTTGTAATGATTTCTATGCTCTGCTGTTTCTTTTCACCCGCCATTTTCAATCAGAAATTTCTGCTTTTGCCTTACATTGTGCATTTGCTCTTACTCGTTAAAATATTTGTTTTGCGTTTTCAGCTGTTATGTGGCATCGGGGTGTCCAGCCGGGAGTGTTTGTTGTACCCAGACCACGCACTGAACGAGCCTGGTCCGTGCCCTGAGAACGTATGTAGTGATATGGAGTATGACGTCATAGACTCTGTGCTCGAGCAGGATGCCAGTGTGAAGGAACGAGTCGAGAACGACGTAGATGATCCAAGGTTTAATTTCTTTGCTGTTTTACAGTGGTTTCTCTTTGGACAAAATCATTTAAAATAATGATTATTTAAGTAGAGCCGTTGGTTAATCTCGTTTATGGATCAAATGACGAAGTGAAATCTCCGGCAAAAGCGAAAGTTCTTATCTAGTTCAGGCACAGAAAAACTGGAATGAGAGGGAAACTAGGGAAAGGCGCGAAAATTGTTGCCGTGTGAAATGAGCGAGAAACCAGCGTTTTGGTGGAGAAGTCAGGGCCACGTTAAAGATTGGTTGACCAGTATTTTAATTGGAAAAATTTTACCGATGCACTAAGCGCAAAACGCAAAACAGTGATAGGCGCACGGAAAATGGCCATCATTGTAAGGAGCAAGAAATAAGTGTTCCTTGTTAAGTTACGTAACGTATCTTTCGTCTCTCATCTTTCCATTAGTCTTTCGTCTCAGGCACCCAGTCCTCCTCCTTATGGTATTCCCGTGTCGCCTTTCCAGTTGTGCCGGTTTGTGGTCAGTCAAACTGGTATGATGACTTCCGAGAAAAGGTGAGAGAAGCCTTGAGCAGCTTGAGTTCTATTGAACGAGGAGTCTCTAACTCTCCTGTGATTGATTTTGTTTCGCAGAGCGAAGATTGATCTTCTGAAAAAGACTGACCGTTTCTTGCGTGAGTTGAAGAACCTGGATAACAGACGGTGGTAAGCTTAGTTATTTTCATCTGAAAAAAGCTAGATCGCAATGGTAAAAACGAGCTCCTTTAGTATCCCAAATAGGAGAAAAATTAAAAACAGGGAGTTTTAAAATAGCTGGGAGGTGGCAGAAGTAGAAAAAAAAAAAAAAAGTACACACCTGTGTGTAAGCGCAGAAAGTTGTTAGAACCAGCGACTGGGCACAGAAAAGCGTGCACGCAGTGACAAGCGCGGGGAATATGTATCAGTGTAAAGGCGGGAAAACGTTCAACCAGTAACAAGCGCGGGGGAAAATCAAATAGTGCAAAGGCAGGAAAACGTTGGAAAACGTTCCACCATTGACAAGGGCAAGAAAAAATCAAACGGCTTAAAGGCGGAAAACATGCCCGTAATTGACGGCGTCGTTTACGCAGAAAACTCAAATGCTTTTTTCTTTCTATTTTTTTTCTTTCTTTTTTTAACTGATTTCGTTATAACAAGAGAATATTTAGTCTCTTGGTTGTAGTCATTTTTGCTGATTTGTTTTATCGACAGTCGTGAGACGCATAAAATAGCATTGGTGTACGTGGCACAAGGTCAGGAGGATAAGACCTCCATAATGTCCAACAGTGTGGGAAGTCAGCAGTTTGAACACTTTGTAGCAGGTCTGGCTTGGGAGGTGAGAGATACTTCACAAATTTGTAGTCCCATAACTTTCATTCTAGGTGTGCAGGTTCTGATTACTTATGCTCGAAAATTTGAGCAGTTTTCTTTTGAGCGTCACCCCTACGAACATGGCGTCATGACCAAAATTATGCTCAAAATTTTTCCTTATTCTATATTTAACAATTCAAAATAATAGCTTATAGGAGACCTTCAACCTCCGCCTCCAATTCCTACCACTAACAGATAAAGTGCAAGCAAAAAGCACGCTCAATGTTGACACTACTTAGACTTCAAAATTTATCTAAGGATGAAATGTAACATCAAGGGAATTTTTGAGAAGTTTACTTGTCATGCCGGCTTTATGCTCCATGCTCTGACTACAACTTTATGCCCAAAATTATACCGGCATATTTAATCTGACCATATTGGTGTCGTACATGTAGTTAAGGCATGTGCGACCACCAGAATGCTTGTGAGATGAAAGACTTTCCACCAGCCAGTGACCACTGTTTTATGTCGACCAGGTTGACTTGTCTAAGCACACGGGATTTTTGGGTGGATTGGAGAAGAATCTTTCGACTGGCACAACAGCACCGTACTACTGCAACTCAACCACCGAAGTCATGTTCCATGTGTCTACCAGAATGCCCCTGGCGACTGATAACACTGGGTTTAACCGAAAGGTCAGACGACAATTCTATTATCAGTGTGCATGAGCGTAGCTTTGCTCGGCCATCAAGTTTGTTATAGTTATCAATATTGATTACACTTTTATTTGATGGCAAGTTGCGCATACCAGCATGATATTTATCGCGTTGAACTTGCTCTTTCTCGAGAGGCCATGATTGGGTCACTTCTCGGGAAGACATTAAGTCTCTTTACCCAAGTTACAGTCGACCGCCGGCCAGTTAGCCCAATGGATAGTGCGCTGGACTGTTGTGCGGGAGGTCGAGGGTTCGAGGCCCGGCCGGACCAACACTCGGGTCTTAAAATAATTGAGAAGAATTTGCTACCTTTCTATAACATCGAGAAATGGTTAGATATTCTAGTCTTCTCGGATAAGGACGAATAAACGGAGCTCCCGTCTCCTGCAGGGTTGGGGTTAATTTCCCACACACGTGATTACTGTGTGGTGGATGTCCTCCCCTGGGGTGGGATGGGTGGGAAGATAGCAGGTCCACATCAGCAAATAGCTGCCATNTATCTAGTGAAGGGTGATTATTTTCCCAGCAGTAGGCACGAGTCACCTGTGCGTAACATTTCGTTCTCAACAAGATAGAAATATTTACCAAAGCAAGAAATAGATTCCTAAAGGAAATTAATTGGATCTCTCAACTTCATTGCACCTTCACGTTTCTCAGATCCATGTTTGAAGGAGTCAGATTTGCCAATGCAAGCTATTTCTAAACCAGGCCCCGTAATCTTTACATTACGAGCGGCACAGGAGCACTAAGAATGATAGATAGATAGATAGATAGATAGATAGATAGATAGATAGATAGATAGATAGATAGACTGGTTTTAATAAAATCACATCGCAGTAAGGAGATGACTGACCCCCTCTCCCGTTCCCCCTGAAAACCTTGTGATCCCCCGCGAAAAAAAAACTCCAGAGCTTGCTATACCAAGAAACAATAATTTTTTTTGTGTATTAAGGTGTGCGATGTATCGACAGGCCAGGTTCTTGGGGCTTGTGAACGAGGAGAGATCTGTGTCAGAGGCCCAACAATGATGAAAGGTTAGTTGGTTATACAGTTTCATCGTTGAAGAGGAATTGCTCGTTTAAAAGATAATTGTAGATAATTTAATTTCATGGAAACCAAAGAAAAGCCATTAGATTTTACGATAAGTCAATGAAAACTCAGAATCAGTTCCTCAGCACTGCAGAAAAGTCAATAAGTCACGAGTAAGTTAGTTTTACGTCTTTGAAACTGATACTATCTTATCATTTAATCGGACCAATTACAAAGTGAGAGTACTCGAGACAGGAACCATTTCCAATTATAGCATAACCGAAGTAAAGCACGCGCTCTGAGTGGTAAATTCAGCGTYCCACCATTTGCCCATGGGTGTACGCTGCTGACGTCAGCAAATGCAAAGACTAGTTTCCGCGCGCTTGTTTTTTAGTGGTCACGTAAGATTTCAGTGTTAAATAAAAGGGAACTCATTTGCTAGAATGTATCGATGTTATGTTATAATTCAAGATGTTAAAACTCAGTATTATGTTACAACTCAAGAAGCTAGAGTCGCTCTCGGCTATGGCTTCGCGCGGCTCTTACGCTTCTTTGTAAGTAAGTAAAGCTTTATTCACGCAGGGTAGCCCATTCAGCTCTAAGGCTGGTATCCATAGGGACCCTGTTTCTTAAAAATAATTTATAATCAAGATTTTAAATTTCATATATATATGACTAGAATTTTAAAACTACATTTACAGCCTAAGACTACAAAGCCAAAACACAATTAAGGCCTTAAATAGTAGATAAAATATCAAAGTTAAGATAAAAAGAAATGTCTTTCTCGGCGGCAGAACGTTTGAATGTTTTCACTCTTCACAATGTTTAAAGGAAGTTTATTAAAAATTTCTGTGTCAGTAAAAAAAAAGGTCCTTTTCCCAAAATTTTGTTTTACTTTTGGTAGGGATAGCCTCATACTATGCTTTGTGGAATAGTTGTGAATATTCGAAATTCTGGTAATATATGATGAAAAGTAACTAGGAACTAGTGAGTGAAGACAGAGAAAAACATGTTTAGCCTTGTGGTAATAGGGTCTACTGGAAAGATTCGCAACCGTCCGTGTGCATCGATATCTCAATAGTGTACGCTTTGGTGTTTACCATTTGTTTATTACTTTGGACACCAAATTTTAAATAACTATATTGGCTCCTTGTCAGGCTACCTGAAAGACCAAGACGCCTCAAAACAAATTATTGACGGCGAAGGCTGGCTTCACACTGGAGATCTGGGTTACTATGACCAAGATGAGCATTTCTTTATTGTGGACAAACTCAAAGACTTGATCAAGTTCAGAGGAGATCAGGTCGGTTTTCTTATTTCTTGCCAGTCAGGTAATATCGTCAGAAATGTGTAATGAAGGCAATTCTAGGCGTGGCTTAAGCTTAATCGAACGCGTAAGCTGTAGACGCCATGCATTGAAACGTAGTTGGTACAAGTGTTGGATTTACCGTAGTTTACTAGGATCGCCTAGAAATGGCTTATCTGAACTCTATTTTTACAACGTCTTGGTGCGCGCGTCTCTCGCGCGCGTCTCTCGTGCGCGCGGCCTTCTCAAGCACTCAGATGGCTGGGTACGTGTAAATAGGGAACGGGTACGAGCGGATAGTGCTTCAGCTGCTTCAGCTCGCCTGAACGCCCTCCCGTGCGTCATGCGTAGTGCCACGTGAGCTGTTCGTATCCTCTTTGAGAATCCACCACACAGTCTCTTTGTTTTTGTTTTCCCGTAGTTTATAACATTTTTTAAAAAATTGATTCGGAAGAATTACTGTTTCTCTCGACTCACTGTCCTGCACAGTAATTTATAAAAACTGAACAAAGAGAACCTAGACTTTTAAGCCAAGACGCTCTCTTATTTTCACTCAGGTCTCTCCTTCAGAACTCGAATCTCTCCTCAAGGCCCACCCGGCCGTATCTGACGCAGCTGTTATTGGGTTCCCAGACCCCGAAGTTGGAGAATTGCCGACAGCTTTTATTGTCAGTGTAAACGATGAAGATTTGACTGAAATTGAAATTATTCAATATGTGGACGAGAATGCAGCACCTCACAAAAAGCTTCGAGGAGGCGTAGTGTTTATTAATTCGATTCCCAGGTCTGAGGAAGGGGAAATTCTTCGAACAGAATTAAGAGACAAAATGATTCAAGGAAAGTACAAACCAGTACAAATGAGAAGAGGGTCGCTTTTTGGAATCGAGGAAAACAAGAGATTTTCTTTGAAGAGAAACTCTTCACCGGTGACTAGGATTTTACCACGAAGCATTGAAACAATTCTAGAGGAAAAGCCTGAACAACTGCAAGTTCCACGATCAAAAAGCTGTGTTATATTATGAAAGGAACTCGTGCCTTCTCACATGAAGGGGAAGGAATGCCGCTGGACGGGTGATGATACATTGGCCATAAAGAGGTCTCATTGAGCAGGGGTTTTTACTTCATAAAATGAAGAAAAGCCCTTAAATGTCATCGGCCAATTAACAATTTCCCCAGAAGTTCACTGATTCCCATTTATACTTTGACTGCTATTTCTGTAAGGATGAAGTCCGGTTATTTTTTTTGTTGTTGTAAATATTTTGGTATTTAACTTTGAAGCAAAACATAACAGAAGAGGCGAAGTGCTACTTTCATACTGAGTATGTAAATTCATGAAATTTTAAAGAGAAAATATAATGCCTGAAACAAATCTGATGAAGCATGTCAAAAGGGTCGAGGTCATAAAATTAATTTATGGAATGGATAATAGAAAAATGAATCGTATATTCCTCCTGCTTTTTCTTTATAATTTGTCGTTTTCTCTGTGAGTCAACAAAATATGGATTGATTTGGAGAGAGATAGACTGGAAACGATTAGACACTTTTTAATATCATTCTACATGATATATCGTGCTACAATTTTCAAGGATTTTACATTTTTTTGTGAAGCTCATTGTATCAAGAACGCTCCGAAGTAAGTGTGATAAGAAAACATGTACATTTTAAGGCTGTCCCTGGTTTTCATCGAAATGACGTCACCAGCTCTAAGAAAAAACACTCCTGCTGTAAATTGGAGTCCTTCTTCAGAGTTAGGGTGTTGAACCAGGGTGACTGCTTCGTTATTCTTCATCATAAACACCCTACCCTTAGAATGAAAGTACAGTTGTGCGTAGATATAGTACGCTCCAGCTTTAGGCACAATCAGTTGTCCATCACTGTAGTTCATGCCGCCCACGAGATGACTGAATGTATTATCTACTTCCCAGTCTTTTATCACTAAAACGAAATTTTCAGGGGGACAATTAGTAAAACTGAGAAAGTTGCAGAAGCAACCAGAAAAGATCAGAACAACCTGTCCAAGCCTGACAGGAAACTTCCTTGTCATTGCTGGCCTCGATATGAGCCTGAGGCTTCGCCTCCGGACACTGGAGCTACAACGAAATAAAATAGATAGGCATCAGCTTTTTACAGTAAATTCAGTGACCCAATATAGGAAAGTTTCTAAACTACATTCGCGGGAAACGAGAATACATCTTGATTTTCTCTTGACGGGAGTTTTTTGTCTATAAACATTTTCAAAGGATGTCTACGAGTTAAGAATCCAGTTTTGACTTTCTGTATTACAGAAGATCTGCACCGCCTAATCTTCATTTTTTAAACAAACATAGAACTATATAAGTTAATTCTAAATTGTCAGATAGCAAAAGCCGTGTCTGACAGAATGGTTGGAACAGATGGAAAATGCCTAAAATCAAGAGTTGACGCACTCATAAATACTGAAGGGAATTGAAGGACATAGGTAGTATGAAAAGGTGGTAAAATTTAAGCTGGATTGTCGAATGAACAAAGATATCTGTCTATTTCTCAAGAACAAAGAAATATTCAAGCTCCTAACGAGGGATCCAACCTCAGGCCTTCTGTTTTCGCAACCCAACACTTTGCATTTGTGCTACAAAATATTAGGAACACTTTTCCACTTGTTTTACCTGTTTGGATTGAGCTGCTATCACGTTGGCGTATATCAGAAAAACGCACGACAAAATGATCTTCACCTCAAGAGAAGCCATGATGATGGTAATATTTGAGAGTTACTGTCGGAGAAATTTCGATCGTGAGTAAAATTAGTTTGGTGTAGTAGGAAGATGGTAAAGTTTGATGTGGTTTGGTGTAGTATAAGAGTTGGCGGTACGAGATCACTAAGTGATCGCGTACAAAAACGCTAACACTCTACATCATTACCATATTATGGAAATTATATAATAGAATTATTGAATGAAATCATTCGATGGAATGATATGATGGAATTATTTAATGGAATCATTCGAAAAAATTATTCTATGATATCAAGGCGTTGGAATATTACATGATGATCTCACAGCATTGTTCCATTGCGTGACATTCTCAGAAAAACAGCAAATAAATGATGTAATACAACAGGAACTTTCCCGAGGAAATGAGTCAGCATTTTACTTCATACGACAATTGAAATAGTGGTTTCCCACGCGTCGAAATTGAAAAAGTGATTTTCCAAACTCCTATACTACCGGTATAAGTGGGCGTAGTTGGTTGTTGACGAATTTCCCCTGCATAAATTACCTGCGAAGCGCCGAGATGCAACCCATAATAAGGCTACAAGAATTAACGTGTTTATTTAACGATAAAGAAGCAAATCTTTTTGCATTCGAAGTGTGGACAAGAATACGGTGTTCTTTGGAGATCATGATCGTGATTATGGAGAATTCATGCATCCAAGACGCCTGAAAATGCTTGTCAAAAAAACACAACCGGTGGTATGTGTGGGCCTGTAATAGGCTATAAAAAGGAAAGTGGTTAGCAACCAGCATGTTTAGCGTAAATAAAGGCTGATAGTTTCTAAAGAAACTGTTTGGCGCTGCGACGATGGGGCTAACGAAATAATTTGAATATATCAACAAAGTTGAATGGTAAATTGGCCACCGTTACGGTTATAAAAGCTGACGTTTCGAGGGTTAGTCCTTCGTTTCGAGCATTAGCCCTTCGTCGCTTCGACGAAGGGCTAACGCTCGAAACGTCAGCTTTTATAACCGTAACGGTGGCCAATTTACCATTTCAACTTTGTTCATATATTCAAGTTGTTTAGCGTAAAGTAGGGTTTTTAAGACCCGAAGGTCAAAAGCCTTGTTGTTAGGCCCTTCTCGCGAGTTAGGAGTCATGCCAAAACATTTAGTAACTCCAGAACTAAAGGATCATCATAACTAAAGGATCATCATAACTAATAATCTTGATTAAACCAAACACCTAGAAATTTATAGGAACTCACCTTTGGAAGGCAAAGCACAAATACATAAACTTTATGAGCTCAACCAAGCAATGATCATATTTCCTATAGCTAGATAAGCTCGCAGTTATATTCACGCTTGCCAAATATGGAGGTATCTTTGTCCATCAAGGCAGAATTATTCTGGTGTGAAATAGGATATCTAAGTTAACCTGCATCGCCAATACGGGACGACCGTGAAAGTGACGGAGAACTGTTTGCGTATAATTTTTAATTAATTATTTTTCAATGGCGCCCGTAGCAGTAAATTTTTCGGTTGGTACTAAAGGAGCAATATCTGAGTTCTAAAACTATGGGAAGATGATCTTAGGGAAACATAGGCAGAACTTACGCAAGCTTGATGAAACTTTCTTAGCTGGAAGGATTGGTCCTGCGTCGTCAGGGAAGCACCACTCTTAAAAAAGAGAGCTGAGACCGAGTTATGGTTGGGTCATTTTCATCTTCCATTAACAGGAATCCCACCAAATGCTAACTGTAAAAATGTTTTATTTATGGTCTAGGCAGCAGTGCACCAAGGATACTTGAGAACACTGGCTAGTAATGAAAGAATCAAGAATAAATTAAATCATTCACAACATCTGATGCTCTTAGACACCAATTTTACCAAACCAAACCTTTGGCAAACACTTTAAAACTACCGGGGGATTTCAAGTACTCTCCATGAGTGTGGCTCACAGAAAAAAAAAAGCCTTAAACAACAATTATCCCAAATATCTTCCTGTGTAACCAAAGAGTAAGCTTTGACCATAACCTTCATGTCAATAGTACAATTCTTTCAATGATCTTCACTCTTTCCGTCAGAAGATAACAAAATGCATATTGGTGGTTGAAAAAACGATAGAATGATGTCGAAAAAGGTGTAATTGACGCATATAGCAGCGCGCGAACTTTAATTTAGTTGCACGCGCGGCCTCGTAACATCAGCGACCTTTAATTTAGTTGTACGCGCGTATCGCAAGCGCTCACGAAAGCGCCGCGACAGCCCGCAAGCCGTATAAAGGTTACGTTGTTTTCTTTTGTCATCAGTTGACGCAAGATCTTTCAACTGAAAGCGAAGTTTTAGCCGCCGTGCTCAAACCTTTTTTAATTGTTCTAGTGATAGCGGCACCAAGGTAAATATTTTTACGCCTTTTTAGTTTATTTAATTAAGCAATGTGTATCTTTCTTTCTTTAATTGTGATTTCTCTTTTTGTGAAGTAAGCTAAGACTTAAAATTTAGTTTAAGTGAAAGTTGCTTACGACATCGTTGTACCGTTAATTGCAAATTGTTATTTTTCCTTTGTCTTGTAACTTTTGAGTCGCATGAAATGTATTTATATCTGATTATTTACACGATCTCGCTTGTAACTTGTTTGTACTTTTATTTTAGTTTTCACGGTGTTCGTTTAACAAAGTAAGAAGTTGAATAAATTTTTACGAACATCAGTTTGTGAACGTTGTGATCACTGGAGCAATAAAAGGGTCTAATCGCGTTTTTTTTTAATGCTGTGTGTCATTTGAACTGGGAACCAAATATTTTCAAATCTCCTAAAACTAAATTCTCAACTTAACTGAATAAAGGATGTTACTTTGGAGCGTTCTTGATAGAGAAAGATTCACATAAACGTGCGCTAGGCTTTGGCGCTCTTCTTTTAAAGAACAACCTCCAAAAACTTCAATTGTTCACTCTCTAAATATTTTCAAAAAGATATTTTTTCCTTGAAACTTGAAATAGGAAAATGCTTCCAATGACAAGAAAATGCCTCGCTTTTAAATGCTAGCTCCTCAAATGTTTGCTGAAATCTTGATCTCGCTCGCTTGTGCCTTCGTTGTTGACTGCAGGGCCGTAGCTAGCATGAGGCAAGACGAGGCAATTGACTCGTCTTGATTTTGGCCTTTTCCTTTTTTTTTTTTTTTCTCCACCAGTATCGCTCGGCAATAAAAAACTGAACTTCCACACTTGCCCAAGATTGACTTTTCTGAAGAAAAGTGCCACGGAAAATGCTTGAAAGAGCATTTCTGAGCCTCTAGATTTCAAAATTTTCTGGGGGAGGCATGCCAGACCCGAAACTTGCCTCGTCTTGTTCTGAAGTCTGGCCACGGCCCTGGACTGCATACCTGTGTCCTAGCTTTTCGTTACTCAGCTCTGCCCTTGGCTAACTATGGATTGTCAATGACGTTGAGGATTCAGCATAAGAATAAAAGTCAGCAAACGGTTGGTTGATGTTCATTTGCAATCTGTTAATAACAGATAAAGAAAGCAAGAGATTGTCCATGACCTTGAGGATTTAACTTAAAAATAAAAGTCGGCAAACGTTGGCAGATTTTTTCTTCTAGAATCTGTTAATAATAGATAAATAAAGCCACAGATCGTCATCATTGACGATCTGTGGCTTTATCTGTTATTAACAGATTCTAGAAGAAAAAAGATGAAGATTTAACATAACGAAACAAAAGATCGACAAGATAGTTAAGTTCAAAGAAATGAAGATAAAGGTGGCAAATTGTCGGCCAAAATGTGATCGCTTTCAAACCAAACTCTTCACCCATTCCAAACAGAATCCTGACTTCCTGACTTAATTACTGTAAATGTCCCTATGGCTATAATTTCAAATAAACTTCATTGGTTAGCCGATAGTTTGATTTGCGGTATTATCATACAGAATATGTTTTGCTATTTTTGTTTCGTTAACGTGAGGTTGTCAAAGAAGAAACATAAGAGCAAATTTACAGCTAAAATGCTCAGTTCAAGCAAATAGAATGCCATAACCAAACACAACAACAATCAACTTAATCATCATCATATTCAACAGAATTAGACGTTGACACACTTGATCAACAAACCATTTTGAACATTTCTAAATTCATTTATTAACATGACCAACATTGAGCTCCAATCAATAAATAGAAAATATGCAATTTCACATACTTTTGGATATATTTCATCTAATCTTATACAGAACTGACACTAAAGTTCTAGGAGATATTCTACAATGGATGGTGCCGGAAGTGGACATAAGCAAATGCAATTTCTATGCAGTTACTAAGACCTCCACATTGAGGTGGTCGCGATTTTGGTCGACGAAATCTCAGGCCTTTAAGAGGGCCAAAGCAATAGATATTGTCATTGAAGACATAACTGATGATCTGAAAAAACAAATGAAAGCAAAGGTCGTAGATGACCCAACTTAAATAATGAGCTTCTACTGACTCTCTTTTGCAAATAGCGACTGGGGCAAAATATGATTAATTAACAAGGAATATTGATGTTACAGATGGTTTGACAAATTATGCAGAATTTATTGTAGAAAACATAGATTGTAGGATTGAGAACTCTAGCAGACTACCTCTTATATGGGTTTCTTTTTCTGATCCAGGCATTTGATTACGTTTTTTACTGTAAAACTGCTTATTCACGTTTTGTAATGCAAGTATGTTTGACACTTTCATACTGGCGTAACCGTCGAACTGATCGAAATTTGAGCCGCTAAAAACATTTTTGGTGAAATTCTGGGTTCCTTTCCCTGTTGTGTATCTGTTGTACGTTTTAGAGCAATGAAATCATGGAAAATAGGGTGAAAATTGAGTCGAAAATTCTTACCTAAAATATGTATTTGCCTTCACTGAACGCGTTCTCATTTTCGGTGAAGAAACAAATATCTATTTGATTATTTTTATTTAAGGAAAAATTGAAAGCCTACATTAATGAATAAACATTCCCTCGAGGTGTTTCGCAATCATCCAGAAAGGGCTCTAATTTGGCTTGTTTGCTATTAATGGCAGGTGGTTGCATGGTTAGCAGTTGCCCACTTTCATCCAATTTGTTACCTCACCCTCCACTATTTCCACTTACGTTGCCTTACTCGACAACACAGATTTTTGCTCACGCTGTTTTCCCCCTCTTCATAATAACTCATCTGTTGTTTCGCAATGAATGAGTTAGAAAGGTAACGATCACTTACGTAAAATAAAAGAAATACA